TGCTTGCCTTGGGTTGCTGTTGTACCTGACATTGACATATATATCCAGATCAGTAAGATCATTCTCCTGTCTTAGTTTTATTACAATTCTGGATGGAATTAAGGATGATGATTCCTAGAATATCCCTACAAGCTTTACTTTATCATTTGCAACATAACCAATTTTAGTAAAGGATGTGGTTATTTGCAACATCTTGGTAATAATAAAACAGTGATATATGAATCTCGTGCATGTTGTTGTTCTTGCAGTATATTTGGGGTTTTGCTGCATAGTATAGTGACACTAGACTTAGAGCTTGTGGATTGTCAGATTGTCATCTTGTTCTGCACCTTTAAATTCCACCCACATTTTTTCATTTCGTGGGTGGTTTACAGAGCAGCTCTAATGGCTTGTGTGTTTATTAGAGAGGCTCTGAAAGAGCACCTACATGGTTTAAAGGCATGCATACAGCAGCACAAAATTCATTACCCTGCACCACATGCTGACCATGATAGCACAGAAGAGATTACATAAATCTTCCATGGCATAACTTTATTTAGACAATCCTAAAAGTCTTCAGGTTTGGGTTGGTTTTTATGGTGGGGTTTTTTGGGGGGGTTGTTTTTTGTTTTTATTTTTTACCCTTAGAATCAAGTTTTGTGAAATCTTTGCTTGTGCAAAGCAAAACACTGTTGACCTAATTTGAACCCCGTCTTTATTATCCTAATGTTTTCTCCAGCAGTCACATGCTGGCGTTAAAGCCCCATTGTCCAGATGCACACTTTGGTATCTCATCTCTTGCAGAAGTGGGAATAGTTAGACTTCCACGAGTTACCTTAGCACCTGTGTGTCTTGCCAGACGTATCATTTGTGTTTGCCTCTGTCCCTTCCTCCAAGTCCTTCTCTAATCTATGCTGTCTTCTGTCCCACGTATTTTTAGTCTTTTATATTCACTGTGAAAGCTATTGCCATAACCAGCTAGCTGGCCTGTCTGCTGGTGTGGTAAGTCGGACAATTCAGATATGATACTTTTCTCACTGACTATAACTGTACGAGGTCCTGTACCCTCTTCTGAAAGAAAGTTTTTCTTTCTGAGGAAAAATGATTTCCTTGAAAGATGGGGGATCATGGTGAAATTTTTTACAGCATAGCTAATCAAAATCAGGCTTTATATTTCAATTTGCTTTATGGCTTCTTAAAATATAACAGAAGGTTTCATGAAACTCTAGAACAGTCGGAAATAGGTCCTAGACTCTCCTTTCATTTTTTACTTGCAGCCTTAAGTAGTTTTAAACATTATTTTAGAATGTAACAGAATTCCAATTTAAAAACAGGGCTGCCAACAGATCAGATGTGGGCTGAAACTTTTCAGCTTTTTAAGGGGTCATGAGATAGCAGCACTGCCCTGATGAACTTCATTATGCCATATGAATATAAAATATTCATATAAAGGGAGATTTGCAAAGACATAAAGAAAAGGCACCTATTTTTTCAATGCATCAGGGAGTCTTAATTCTTAGTCTTATATTTGAAAGTTACTTCTCTTGTGTGGAGATTGAGATTAAATGTCTTTAAAATGAGTACCTTTTTGTATTAAAAATAATTTTGTGATCCAATCTTGAAATATATGTGATTAATGTTACAGATCAAATCCGATTGCTTATAGAGTTGCATTGCGCACACATTTAGAGCATTTGCAATGCCATATCTTAGCTTCTGTTATGCATTTATAGTTGGAGAGGGGAATAATGAATATTTAAGGTGTTGACGAATCAAGGCCTGAATTCTAATTGTTGGAAACAGCAAGTTTAGGAGTTGATGGGTTTATCAGGACAAGTCATTACAATTGTTTTACATGTGAGCAAGACCATTCATTTCACAAAATATCTGCAGTTCTTAGCATGTCCCCTCATGTATAATGTCATCTGTCAGTAAAAGCAGAGCTGATTAGCTTTATAATTTGCAGTTAACTAAATCTGTCAAGAAAATGGTCTTATTGTCCATCTTGTCTTTTTGTAATGAAGCTGTGGATGGGGGTTAGCAACAGTGTGTTCACCCTTCTGGAGGTCATGGAGGATAGAAGGTACTAATGCATTCTAAGCCGAAAAGCTCACGCTTGACCTTGATGATTAAAGTTTTTCCTATCATCTAGCAGCAGTTGAGCCTGAATTGGCTCTTAAGAAGTCAAAAGGTCTAATCAACCTAATGAACAAACTCAATCATTAGTACTTTGGGGAAGGAAGTGTGTTAAGACTATAATAATACTGAGCTCCCCCAGCTGCAATATGTGTGTTTATAGGAATGGTATATAGCTGCATTGTGAGAGGAGAAGCTGCTGTCATTGTGCTGGATGTACAGTGGAGTAGAGGAAGCTTCTGTTTGACAGGGTGCAGTTCTTTCCACAATGTTCATACTCTTTAAAGGTCCCTTCCAACCCAAACTATTCTATGATTCTCTGGCCATGGGAGAAATTGTGGATTCTCATAGATTATAGGAACTGTTGGTTGTTTCCTTTGAAGTGTTTTGTAAGCAAGGATTAAATGAAAGCTAAATATTCCTCTGGCGAACAACTTCTCTGATCATGGACTAATCTACATGTTTCTTTGTGTATTCCTCCCAGCTCTTTTCACATTCCAGATTGTATCTATGTCAGACACAAATATATGTCAGGCATCCTTTATTATGTTCTGGTAGCTGAATTTGATGGGAAACCCTTTTTCATACTGGTCAAGTAGACGTTGCCTAGGCCCCGCTTGAAAAGCGTCTGTCACTACAGTTTCTCTACTAACAGATGCATTTGCGATTTCCTAAGATTTTCTCTTATTAATTGTAGTGCTCTGTAGAATCCTGACTTTTACTTCCTGGTACCTGAGAAGGAGTTTAAACAAATCTCAAGTGGGATGGCAACAGCTGAATATAATATATTAAGTTCTTGCATGGGGAGCTTATGTTAGTCCAAATTGTCAGTCCCATCTCAAAATCAGCTAATGGCTTTTTCCATTTGCCAGGTTACCTCTTGCTCAAAGTCTTGTTTTGACACTTGCATGTCATGCAGAATTTCTGTCCCTCTTTGCCATCTACTAACATGAATGCATGATCAGCTGTTAATCATTTAAATGTATTAAAACCTTTCAGACAGTACATACCTTGATTTTTGAGACAGAACCTTTGTCATGGCAGTAGTCAGTGTGTCATGGAAAGTATCGCCAGTGTCTTACATACCAGCCAGACCTGTTTTTCCAAACATTATTCCTTTGTTTACTTTGAAAAGAAGTGCCTTGTGATTCTTTATCCTGATGAGAGCAAAGCCACAATGGGGAAAAATAAAAAGTATTTTTTCACACTCATGCTTCTTGCCCAGAAAGACTGTAGTGGTTTTGTTTTTCCCTGTAAATACCTGCTAGAGTAAATCAAAGACAGGTTATTATCTTTAAAATTAATTATCCTGAAGCTATAGTTGACACATAAGAAATCTGCTTTCTTTTCCAAACCCATGGAAATTCATAGGCCCAAGGAAAGGCTGACAGAAACTATCCTAAAAGAATGACTTCTTCCCTTTTTGAAAGAGACCTGTCCTGTGCTTAGACAGTCACTTGCAATTGATCCTTTTCCTGATGTTAAGAACAATCTGTGACCTCTGGCATGTATTGGCTGCTGGGTTAGAGCTGAGGTACATGGTGTATCATCTTGGCGATTCCAATTCATTGGGGGCCAGGAACAATTTTGTTACTGCAATCTGATTATTTGAAGCCTTTGCTTTCCTCATAAATTGTGTTAAAAACTGATGTAACTGTTTTCACCCTTTGGTTACACCAGCAGGGTCAGTTATGTCAAAGCACAGGCAATCAGCAGTGAATATCAGCCATCAGGTTGATGAGCTCTGGGGTAGCACCAGCCCTCAGTAGGAAATGTATCAATGAGTAATTTGATTGATTGGGAACTCAGGGGAAAAAGGTGAATACCTGTGGATTTTAAGAAATGTGGGTGTCACCTCAGTTTGCCCGACATAGTTTTAAGGATTTAGTATCCCTTTAGGGATAGGTTTAAGAAGTCCTGGGGCCACATGGTGGCTCCCAACATAAAGTGATGGGGAAAACCCAATATGCTCAAGCAATGCTGCGGCATGGGGGTTTTTTTGAGCGCAGTCTTTTTAGTGGTCCTGTTATCCTGACTTTACACAGCCAATGGCAAATGAGATTGCTAATAGAAAAAGCTTTCAGAAAAGGAATGGTACCACCCATTTAAAGGGAGTGCTTTAAGGGGTTTTGCTGTCTAATACTGATTTTAAACACTCAACAGATGAAAAGTCCAAATATATTTTAATATGAGTATGAAAAAGCCTCCATATTAATTATACATCAGTATAATTTTATCATTGTTACTTTCTTTTTTTTTAATTCAATAAATATATTTGCTTGCTACATTGAGTATTTGTAGATTTAAGCGTGGAGGAAATTTGTGCCCTTATGGCAGATGCACGGCAGACTTCAGCATTAACATAACTCATTAAAATAAGATAAAAGTAGAGCTGCAAAACAATTTCTGTCTTTTGCCAACAAGGTTGTGAAAAAGGGAAATTTCACTCATTCAATATATGAAAGTCTAATCTTTCTGAACTGTGGAGAGAACAGAGTAGCCATTCCTGACTTGTTTGTGCAGGTTAACTGGCTGGGTCTGCTCAGGCAGATAAGCAGAACATAGAACATTCAGATGACCATGTGTCATATTTTGAGGACATTAAGGAAAATTACTTTTTTGGATGATGAAAGTTCCTTCACCAGCATTAGCAAAATGTGCATAAAGCAGATGTGTTTTATTTTGATGATACACAATTTGCCAGTTTGCAACCTGTTTCTGTCACATGATTGAAACCTGGAAGTAAACTACAGTTTACTCAATGTTATGTAAGACCTACTTTATTTATCTATTTATTTTGGAAGGGAAGTAGATAAGACAGAGACAGTGGATTCAAATGGATTCAGACAAAGCTTTTTCAGTGTTTAATGCTCTGAACTCTATAGGGTGAACCCATCACTTTTTGTGAAGAAACATTTGTGTCCCATCGTTCTGCTGTCATGAGGCAGTTTCTCCAGAATGCCATTCAGCTCCAGCTCTTTAAGCAGGTACTGACTTAATTGCTCTAATGTAGAAGCAGATTCCTTAACAATACAACTGGGTTTTTTTGAGAGCTGTTTCTGTATTCCCTGATCTGTCAGCCACATAATGAGGAAAATTCATGTACTTGGCAGCACCTTAATTCCTCCTTGCTGGCTTTTTTCAGATTCAAGGCTTTCTATATTTTAAGAGGTGTATGTTTTTTCCCCTAAAGGTGTCTCTGCTCAGTTTTGATCTGAGCACACCTAGACCCCATATATCTGCTGTAAACTTTGTACTGAAAGCATGTTACTGTAAACATGATATTACTGCGTCAGGGAAGCTGAAACCATCTATGTATAGACAGACACATGAATGCTGATTTTTCAGTGAAGCAGCACACCTTTTTGTGCTTGTAAACACTTTGCCAGTTTTGGTTCTATTTTCATTCTATTTAGAGTCTCTTCTTGATAAGACCATTGGGGTTATTCTAGCAAATGCAGAATAAAGTCTTTCTGAAAAGATAAAAGATGGGATGGTTGATTTGTTTATGCTCTCTTTTAACATTGATGTAGTTCATTGATGGACGCCTGGATCTTCTGAACTCTGGAGAAGGCTTCAGTGATGTTTTTGAAGAGGAGATAAATATGGGAGAATATGCAGGTAAGAAATACAGTATTTTAAAGTAATTTCAGACACTGCTCTTGACTTAATGTTTGTGGGCCATCATGATGTAACAAGTCATTCCGGTTACACACCTGAATAGGTGAGGCTGCAATGATCCCTGGAGGTTGAAGTGTCTTAAATTTTTTTTATTTCCTCTGTCAACAACTTTGAGTAATGTGTTGTAGTCTGAATAAGGTCTGTTCATTCTTACAAAACCTCAGCTTTACCACTTGGCTAAAGTACAACTAGATGGGTTCTTGCAATGGAGGATACTGAAAAACCTTGGCTTTACCCAGAACCACCTCAAATTTCTTTTAGCAATCTTAAAAAAAAAAAAAAAAAAACCCAACAAAAAACATCTCAGTGTTCTCAAATGTCTGAAAGACAACTCAGATAAAATAGAAATGCCTCTTAGCAGGTAAAAGAAAAATTGTAGATACCTCGTCAATTTTTTGCTATTCTGTTTCATTGAAGAAAAGGATGGTTGTCCTGTTCTGTTTCTGTACTGTTCATGCTCCTAGAACCAGTAAGTGCTAACACTTCACATTTCTAGCTTGTTTCCTATTTGGCAGAGAGTTACAGTTTGTTTGTTTTTGTGATTCTCTTTAGGTAGCGACAAATTGTACCACCAGTGGCTCTCTACAGTGAGGGTAAGAACACAATATTCTCCCAACAGACATTGTAATTCTTACCGGAGCATTGTACAGTTCCGTATGGCTGTTAACCTCTGTCATCAGGAACATGACTGACCTGTTTCCTGCAGTGTTTAGCTGTGACCAACTTGAGTTTAGTGTGAGAAACTAGTGTGCTCTTCAGATGAAGTAAAAACCAAAGAAAAAATGCACACAAAAAAATCACCATAGGAATTTTCAAATTTTGAATCCCACTTTTAACGTCTTGGAGAGAGCTGGAAATAAGTTATTGTCATTTTAGAAAATAATGTGTTTTTTCTTTCCTTTTAATAGAAAAGGAAACAAAAGAGAACATTGACACAACAAAAAACTCCTTATAAAGCTAACTGGTGTGAAGTGCTGCATGGGGACAGCACTGGGATGTTTTTGGATCTCTTTGCTTTAGTGCTGTAGTTGTATAAATTAAAAATTTAAATACTTTTAGAGCATAATATGTTATTATAGCAGATTTTAAAAGTCTTTTTTGATGCATAAAATGTGATGTATTGAAAAGTAAAATATTTCTGGTTTATGGGTATGACTCAGTAGGAAAGATTGAATTGTTTTCTGACAGAATTTTTTGCAGCATTCCATTTGCCTATTGTCTTGGTTATGAATGGAATTGTGTTCCCTATGCAAAATGCTGGGCTCAATATTATCTTGATAATTTTGAATTAAACATATTTTATAACAGTAACGCAAAAAATCTCATCATATAGTTAGGATAGGTAAATATATATATAAATACATAGGATAACAAGTAATTGTAAAATTGCAAGAAAGGGGAATGGCTGACAGTGAATATAAAAATACATGTAATTAAATTCAACAGTTTATAATTTTTGTTGAAGATTAATTGTCAATCAGTAACAGAAGTAGTCAATCTTACAACTATTTGTATCTGATTGTGTCTGATCTCTGGAAATATAATTTTGCACTGAAATAAGAAAATACAAAATTATCTAAGATTTTATTCCTTGGATTTTACCCATCTCCTATATTTATCAAATAAGATACTGTACAGCAGTAGTCAATGGTGTGTGGAAGACGTATAAAACACTGACTAGGTGAACAGATTATTCTGTCTGACATATTACTGTCTTATGACTTTTATTATGTTCACCACATGCAATTCAGCTTTTCTAAAATTAATGTTTATGACTGTAGTTAGATTTCATTTTCCCTCAATTTATCCCTTTATCAACTACTTAGATCTTAAAAAGGCAGCATGCTTTTGATAAATAGCATTGTAGAATCATGAGAAGGAAAATAAAAAAAGATCTTCTTCAGATTGAATGTACAGGCTTTCCTGAAACTGAATTTTCTGCCCCAGACACTGAGCATTCAGTAGGATCCTTTTGTCTTAAACTTGTTTAGGATTTTAAGCAATGGACAGGAGACCCTTGAGGGCGAGCGGAAGAGTCATAGAACACTGGTTTATGAGACGACCTATAAGACAAGGGCTCTTGGTATTAGGAGATACTGATGTTTTTCATCTGAAAACTGCTGTATTAAACAGAATGGACATTCCTCTGGAAAACCACAGAGAAACATTTCATACGGTTTTACTTGTATTCTTTTTCTTTAAATTTACCATTTTCATACTCAGCTCTGCTAATAAGCATAGCTAATGCTTTGTTATTTTAAGTTAAGAATGGTGGATTTTAGATTGCTGTTTGCTTTGAAGAGCTTTGATAAAATTTATTCTATTGTTACTATAATTGTAGAAAGGAAGTGGAGCCATTTTAAATACAGTAAAGACCAAGGCTAACCCTGCCATGAAGACTGTCTATAAGTTTGTAAGTATCAAGTACTGGCTTACTACTGAGATAAGAGTCTAATTACAGTTCTGTTTTAACCTTTCAAATGAAACTCGAGACTTACATTCATTTTTATTGGACTCACAAAATTACTTAAAATACACATTCATCTAAATTTCAAATTTAAAAGGAAAAGTCATTTTGAAATTTAAACATAATTGAAATGCAAAGGAGAAGGGGAACTTGTGATTTCTTTTGAAAGTATAGATGATAAATTCTATTTATTACATAGAACTATTTCTGGTAAATAGTGCCTATATGCTCTACTAAGCAGCTCTACCATCTCATCATTACTCTGTTGGAAATCATTATTACCTCAGGTTTCTCTGCTTGCAGCTTCATCGAAATAAGGGAATCCTCTCATTTTCCAAATTGTTTCCATCTTTTCTAAATGTCAATTAATTTTCCCTAGAGATTTCTTATACCTGCTTATTTAGACCCCAACTTACTGAGTTATTCTTTAAATGAGAATGTTTTCAGTTCTGCTAACAAACAGCTAGTATGTTACTGTGGTATCATGTGTGGCTGCCAGTTTCTCTGTGCAAGAGAAATAACACAGAAGCAGGTGAGGATTTCTTACATGCTCAATTTGAGGAAATAATGCTACAGAAAGCATTGAGATAACTATTCAAACTTTCATTTTCTCCTGCCTTCTCCCAGCTTGAGAGAGATGAGTAGGATGAGATTAGCTCTACTAAATGGAACTGGCATCCAGAGTGCTGCAAGGATAAAGTTTGCAGGCTTACTGTTGATTGTTAACTTATAGCAGAGATAAATACTTAGAGGGGAAGACCGAGGGTGTGAAATGCAGAAAGATGTCTATGGCATCAAAACAGAAAAAACAAAATTTTTGAAGGGGGTGGGGAGATGGTGTTTTTTGTTTGTTTGGGGTCTTTTTAGCTTTCTATTTATTTTAATATGCTTTCCATATCCTGTTAGAATTTTTTCCTTGCCATTTTTAGTAACTAGAGAAGGTAAATCTTGCACTGAAATGAAGTGTAGTCACTGCTGGAAATAGAAGGGAATTTTAACTTAAATTAATTTTTCATGCAGGCAAAAGATCATGCAAAAATGGGAATAAAAGAAGTGAAAAACCGCTTGAAGCAAAAGGTACTTGAAGTTCTTATTCAAAATGTATAAGTACCATGTATGAAATACTTAGCCACAAAAAGCATTATGTGATCAATAGGAAGCTGTTTGATACAGTGTTGTTAGCACACTTCAAAATGCATTACCAGCTGTCCCGGATTTTTCACACTGTTATAAATATTCACACACAAAAAAACTGTCTTCAAATACATTAAGGCGCTGACTTAAACCCACAAAAGCCAGAAAATTGAGTGTTCTATTTGGAGTGGTTCCTCTTCTGTCCTTTGTGCGGGGGCATTGCGGAAGGGGACTTTATGTGAACTGGGAGATCTTTCCTACAGTCAGGGCAGTGAACTTATTGCAAAAGGCAAATTGTTGTTATTCTACAGTAATCTCTCAGAGAAAATAGTATAGTGTTGGTCATTGGGAAAGGGATTTATATGTTTTGTGAGTGTCTACTGCTAAGTTTAGACATAAAAGAATGAAATTAGAGTTGGCGTTCATTTCAAATTTGAATTATTGCAGAAAAAAATACTCAAACTGTTGTTTTCCAAATCTGTCTTTGCTTGTTTGTAAACAGTACAATTCCAAGAATGCTGAATTGTCTTTGAACAATGTGTTATCCAGTACTAATTGCTCCTTTTAAGCCAGAAGCATGGTCATATTGATACATACCTTATGAATGAATGGTTAACTCTGCCTTAGGTTTATTTCAGATATTCTATATATTCTGTGAAGCAGAGCTATTAGAGCCTTTTGGGAAAACACAATAGCTAATTTGCCAATAGAACTGAAAAATCAGAAATTTTTATTCAATTTGTTGCATAATAGTTTGGGGTGTTTTTTTTTTTAAATCTGTGCTATCTCAGTAAATTTCTTCTCTAAATTTCTAACCATCATCCTAAGGTAGAGCTACAAATGTGTTCCTATTGCACAAACAGAAATCTAGCTGAACATGTCAACAAAATGTTAATACAAAGGGATTATTCTGCAGCCAGGTTATGAACTGATGCAATTAACTACCTGTACAGTTGAAATGCTGTTTGCTCTCTAAGCAAACAGATTGCTAGAGATTTTTGAGGAAGATCAAGTTGCTTCAGATGCTTTTAATGCTATTTCATTTTATTATTATTTTATTTATTTATTATTTTATTTTAA